CCTTCTTCATGTGTTCAACAGCCTCTTGCAGCAACTTCTCATACTGCACACTGTATTCAAGTGTGCCTGAAGTTGCAGCAGGTCGGTTTTCAGGTAGGAGGAAGTCTAATGCTGATCTAGGCTTCCATCCTAAATGCAGCTGGTTAGGACTGACGCCGGTACTACTATGTATAGCATTGTTGTACAGGTTGGCGATGAGAGGTAACTACTCATCCCAGTCATCCTGGTTGGGCTTGATGTAATGCCTCAGCAAGTGCTGTACAACTCTATTCATTTGTTCGGCCTGTCCGTTGGCTTCGGGATGATTCCCTGAAGTCATCTGAAGTTGACTGCCCATCTGTTGTGCAGTCTTCTTCCACAGCTCACTTGTGAATCGGACGTCTCGGTCACTAATGATGGTCTTTGGTAAACCAAAGTCCCTTACCCAGTTGTCCTTGAACAACTTGATGACGTAATCCGTCCTGGTTGTCTCTGGCATTGGAATTAGTCTAGCGTACTCGGTGAATCGGTCAATGATGACAAAAATGTGCCTCTTACCACTCTTGCTGGTCACAAGGGTGTCCATAAAATCCATGGAAACACTCAATCCTGGACCATCAGGAATAGGTAAAGGCTTCAATAACCCAAGCGGTGCTTGAGTTCGCGGCTTGTCCCACTGACATACCTTACAGGTCTCAACATACTTCTTTGCGTCATCTAACATTCTAGGCCACCAAAATCGTTGTACTAAGTTAGCACTCGTTTTCTTGTAGCCAAAGTGCCCAGTTGCGTCATGACATTCGCCTAAAAATAAACTACGCAACTGTTCACTAGATGGAACTACCAATCTCTTTACTCGGGCCTTATCAAGATTGATTAGCCCATCCACCATCACAAACTCACTTTCTGTGGCCTTGTCTTTCGCCTGAAGTTTGCGGATGATGTCCATCGTGACAGGGTCTTCCTGATAGGCTCCCACCAATGATTGAGTTATTTCATTAGATACGCCAAATTCAGAAACTAGCGCACCTAGGTAGTCTGCTGTACGGGATAGCGCGTCTGCAACCTTGTTGTACTCTCCCTTCAAGTGCTCAAGCTTGAAGTCACATTGGTCTATGACCTCAATCCATCGCTTGAGTGCATCAGAAAGAGCCGGTTGAGTCTTGATCCATTTGAGGGTCTGATGATCAGTCCTCAAATAGAAGAACCTTCCCAAAAGGAAGTGTCTCCAATGGACAAGTGCCTTGTAAAGAGCATAGAGTTCCCTTTCGTAGGTGGACTTAGCCAGCTTCTTCGAAGGCATTTTCTTACTCATGTACTCAATCGGTCTCAACTTTTTCCCATCCTGCTGAGCCAGCACTGCGCCAATGCTGTATTGGCTTGCGTCAGTGGTCATTATGAATGGCTTCTGCAGATCGGGAACCATGAGAACTTCATGATTCATGAGTGCATGCTTCAATCTCTTGAAAGCACCTTCGCACTCATCACTCCAGTCCCACGGTGTGTCAAGTCGAGTTAGATCAGTCAAAGGAGAGGCGATTGTAGAATAGTTCTTAACGAAGTTCCTATAGTAGCCGCACATTCCTAAGAATGATTTGACCTCAGTGACTGTCTGAGGTCGTAGCCAGTCTCGAATACTAGCCACCTTCGCATCTTCCTGCCTAATTCCCTCCGCGGATACTTCATGACCCAAGTATAGTATCTTAGTGCGGCCAAACTCGCACTTCTCTAAGTTGACCTTATACTTGTGCTGTCGCAGGAGTGAGAGAACTGTCTCAACATGTTGTGCGTGCTCCTCGGCAGACTTACTAAAGATCAGAATGTCGTATTAATAGACCACGATAAACTTATCTAAATGGTCATGGAAGATCCGATTCATAGCGTGCTGGAACGTACCCGGCGCATTACAAAGACCGAAAGGCATCACGACAAACTCATACAGACCATATCTAGTCTGAAAAGTTGTCTTGTGTTGGTCCTCAGGTCTTATTGCGATCTGGTGATATCCGGATTTCAAGTCTATCTTTGTATAGTACTTGCATCCCTGCACCCTATCCAATAGGTCGTCTATGCGAGGTAGAGGCTCTGC